ACGACTGCTTTTATTTACATGAGAATATGTACGGTAAAGTAAGAAACGGTGCCACGGTTCCTTTCGCGCTGTCAGTCATGGGTTAATAATTTTCCCGGAAGTGATGATTCAAGTTCGTCTACGCCCTCTAATTATGTATATTAAATTGAATGAATATTCAAGACCTACAAGATATGAAATATAGTAGTGAAATTATAACTTGTTAAGTTCTATAGATTTATTTTTAAAATGGCTTATTATATAAACTATATTTATCCAACATTGATAGTTTTATAGAAATTAATAATAATGACATTTTTGTATGGCATTCAAAATATTTGTATATATAGTCATACTCTTAAATTATTAAGCATACTTACCTGGCACAGGAGAGACTTTGATCAAGAAGGAAGTCCTCCCAAGGCGAGGCCACGGCATTGCACTTAGCTGTGGTTGACCCTTGCGATTCCCTCAAATGTGGGGAACTCGGGTGTAAAATTTATGGTAGCGGGGGACTGCGTTCGCGCTAACCCCCAATAATGAACTAAAAACAGGAAATTCTATCCGAACTAAGTATTGCCGCCGCACGAATCGAATCTAAACGGTACAGAGTTTGTCAACAGGAGCTCGTGCTTCTTATAAATATTCCAGTCACAGCCGGGTGAATGCGAAATTGTCATTAGCCATTGTAGGTTAGGTCAATAAATAACACCGTATAGGCCCTAAAATTGATTGAAAATTGTTAATCTTATTGTAGTAAATACTATATGCCCATGTTTAAATTAATGTTATTTATTACTTAATATAATTTATTAGTTAATATTTGTATTTAAACTATTGTTTAAATAAGCAATACTACGTCTATGTTTCAAATAGTTTTATCTATTAATAGTTTACTTTTGAAAAGTGTAAGGCCTAAGTTAAAAGTGTAGGCCTAACATTCAGATAATAAACTAACCAATTTGGACATTGTAAGATAGATTTCTGATGCAGTATGAGTATTTGTAGCAACCTATTTTACCACAAGCTTAGTATTCCAAATGGTAAGTCTTGATTTTCGGCTTGTAAATTTCGAAAAGGAAATTAAATGTTACTACCTCTCACTGATCGCATTCGGATGCCAATCAGGCCTACTATATATTTAATTTCCATTTTACATCACTGGTGTCTTAAAAACGACATGGAATTTGTACAGTCTCTCTCTCAGCTGTCTATCATGGCTTTATCCTGGGGGCTTTTGTTTTCTCCGGAAATGATTATTCCTTTGGAAAGTACCATCTTGTTCACACTCCCGCTACAAATTAGGCCAAAATGAATATTCATAACCCTAATATAGCCTATTTAAAATACTTTTAAAATCATTAAATATTTCAATTCAATTCTTCATTTCATTAATATTTACAGTGTTTTTGAAATAGCTAATTAATATGTTGGGATTTTTAAAAAAAATTCATATAGTTTTTATGACAATTAAAGGTACTATTAATGACATTTATATATCCTATTCAATGTAATTATATATATAGTCATACTCTTCGCAAGATAAGCATACTTACCTGGCACAGGAGAGACTTTGATCAAGAAGGAAGTCCTCCCAAGGCGAGGCCACGGCATTGCACTTAGCTGTGGTTGACCCTTGCGATTCCCCCAAATGTGGGGAACTCGGGTGTATAATTTATGGTAGCGGGGGACTGCGTTCGCGCTAACCCTCAATAATGATCTTAAAAACAGAAAATTTAATAAAGAGCTTATGTTTGGTACAGGTTGTTCCATTCGTAAGAAGTTTGGTGAATGCGAACCTGTCATTGGCCATAGTAGGCCTAGCATAGTTAATATATAACACTGTATAAAATTGATTGAAAATTGTTAACCGTATTGTGGTGTCCACGTTGAAATTAAGCTTATGCTTTTGCTTTAAATGTTTGGTTAAGGTATCATGTATTTTGTTGAACGCACCTTCAAAATGACATGCGCCACTGTCCTAAAAGTGTAGGCATAAGGTTCAAATAAATTATCTAAACAAATTAGACATTGTAAGATATATTTCTGATGCAGTATGAGTAATTGTTAAAACCGATTTAACACAAGAGTTATGTATGGGGTTTTATCAGTTTTTAGTATTTCAAATGATAATTCTTGATTTTCGGCTTGTAAATTTCGAAAAGGAATTTAAATGTTACTACCTCTCATTGATTGCATTCTGATCAGGCCTACTATGTTATATTTAATTTCCATTTTACATCATTGGTGTAAAAAAAACCAAAAAAAACTACAATAATTTGTAGTCTCTCTCAACCATAGAGAATCTGTTCAATTTTCTTTATGCTCTCAACTGTCTATCATGGCTTTATCCTAGGGGTGGGGCTTTTGCTTTCTCCGGAAGTCATTATTCCTTTGGAAAGTAACCCTTATTGTTCACGCTCCCACTAGAAAATAAATGAATATTCATAACCATAATATAGCCCATTTGAAATACTTTTAAAATCATTAAATATTTTAATTCAATTCTGCATTTCATTAATATTTACAGTGTTTTAGAAATAGCTATATTATGTTGGGAATTTTTTTAAAAGAATTCATATTGTTTTTATGACAATTAAATAGGAAATGACATTTATATATTACATTCAATGTGTTTGTATATATACTCTTACCCTTCGTAGCAAGGCATACTTACCTGGCACAGGAGAGACTTTGATCATGAAGGAAGTCCTCCCAAGGCGAGGCCACGGCATTGCACCTAGCTGTGGTTGACCCTTGCGATTCCCTCAAATGTGGGGAACTCGGGTGTAAAATTTATGGTAGCGGGGGACTGCGTTCGCGCTAACCCCCAGTAATGAACTAAAAACAGGAAATTCTATCCGAACTAAGTATTGCCGCCGCCCGAAGCGAATCTAAACGGTACAGAGTTTGTCAACAGGAGCTCGTGCTTCTTAAAAATATTCCAGTCACAGCCGGGTGAATGCGAAGTCGGGTGTAAAATTTATGGTGGTAATGATAAAATGGTAATGGTATGGTAAAATATAGGTCTAAAGATTAGAAATGCATAAAATTACATAAAAATTCATTGTCGCATATTTTAGCCTATATATTGTTTATTTGGAATCAACACTTTTACAACAGTGGCACACATACGTAACGGTGCGTCCAAGAAAAAGAAAGAAAAAAACGAAATCAAAACAAGACAAATCTAAATTCTAAGAGATAAACAACAAGTACAACATGAAAATCTTATTCTCCCCTCCCCCTCCCACCATAAAAAAATATCTCCTCCTCCCACCACAAAAAAAAAAAAAAAAAAAAATTTTCTTGAATACAACACCTAGACCGAAATTACCCCCGCTTTTATTCTTTTCTTACACCATGGATTCTTTCCAACCATTACTTAATAGTATTTCAAAATGGAAAATCCAAAGTATGGAAAAATTCCGGAAAGCAAAAATAAATTGATAACACATAGCATTAATACAAGGAATATGCTTATACAAAAATGACCCATTTCACCAGCCCTCAGACAAGGTACTCTTTCATTTGACAACCGAAATTCCGACACTCCAGAAAACGAAATCCTCAAGCTGTCTCTTATACACATCTAGATGTGTATAAGAGACAGATATATACCTATATGTATATATATATAACTTAATTTATAAATTAATTTGATTAAAGTTAGAAATATTACAATTAAAAATATCGATATTGGAAAACATTTGAACTAAATTATTGTAACAACAAGACGAATAATAGGACTACCATTTTTACAAACACTAACTCGAGAAAACTGAAAATTAACAAAATGATTTATACGAAGCTTCCGCAACATGAAAATACAAATTTGAATCAAGGTTATAATCAAATTTGGAGTTTAAATATTTAAAAAGAAAAATAAGGTAATTTCGTTTGCGTCTACGTAGAATTTTTTCACAGCTAAGCGGACCGGCTGCTGGGCCGATGAACTTTATGAATTTGTTGTGAATTTCGGTCTATTCTAGCATGGAGGAATTAGTTTAGAGCATTGAGCCTGCTGAAAACCGAAAGGTCCACTGATTAATCTCAGATAAAATACTATAATACATACTCAAAGTATCGAAATGCATGCCATCGTGTCGGGATTCAATATTTCGACATATGTCATGATCATGAATCATCATCATTCATAATTAATTTCGAAATATTGAATCCCGACACGATGGTGTGCATTTCGATACTTGGAGTATGTATTATACTATCTTATTTGAGTCTGCTAGTTATTGTGTTTTAGATAACTGAACAAAAACAAGTTATTTTCCCGTTTGTTTTACGATCATCTCTCCCACCTTCATTGGCGCCTCGTCTGCAACTGAGATCAACAAAGTCGTTAACCGTTCCACATAAGTTTAATAAAAAAAAATGTTAACTCTACAGTTGATATATTTTAAAGAACATAATCGACATTATTACGTGTACAATAAGCATGCTGTTTGTGATGGACACACGGCATTATTTCGTGTACAATGAACATAATGTGATGAGATAATCGATGTACCATCGACATTATTTAGTCTACAATGTACATAATTGACATTATATCGTGTACAATGAACACATAACCTCGACATTATTTCGTTTACAATGAAAATGTTGTACTGTTCAATCGACATTATTTCGTGCACAATCAACTTCATGTAATGTACTTATCGATTATTCTACAGTCAACATTGCTGTGAACAAGTTTGGTAGAAAGTCGATTTACCAATATGATTGATCTTATAATCTAGACACAAGTAACATGAACATAAATTTTACCTGTAACGTTTGGTAACTATGTATGTGATGTCCTTTGTATTTTTATGAGCACTGTTCTTAGTAGACCTACACCAAGTTTTATTAACCTTGTGGAATTAAGTGCAAACACAATGACACAGTGAACAGAACAAAACCGAGAGACACAACTTGGTGTCGGTGTATACAGGCCTATTCTATTTTGGCCTATTAGAGTTGGGTTATTTACGAACCATCCGGGGAACCATCTCCTCAAGTTTTCCCCATAAAGTTGTTAGTGCACATGAGGCTGGTGTTGCATTGTTGTCTTTACTTTATTACAAATATGCTTATCGAATGATTCTATTTGTTTTAAATATTTTTGTAGACTATTTTTTTTTTTCTCGCTGGCCAAATTAAATCAAGAACCAGGGATAATATGTATTTAATTTGCTTGCGTAACAGCCGGCTATATTCGAAATACAGGTGGCTGAGAGTATATATGTTTGAGTAAAATAGATATAGGCCTATTACAGTATTGATATTTTGTATGTTATGAATACAGTTTTGTATTGTAACATTACACCAATATATTATATGAATAAACAGGGGACAGGATACGATGAATGTATAAGTTTTATAGCTTGGAAAATGAAAACAATTGCAAGTAGCTAAAGGCGAGAATCCGGGAACAACAATTAATAATGCTATAGAACTATAGAGGTCGCTATAGCTTATCATTTCTGTCGAAGAAGAGATTGCGATAAGCAGTCTGGCAATAAGAGTCGAGTTCGTCGTCTTGAAGACTGACAGGTAAAGTATTTTTAACAGTTTCGTTTTACAGTATTTATTATTGGTATATTACTCTTTATTTAGATAAATATGTATCTAAAAGTCTTTCTCACATTATAAATATAGGTTTTAAAAATAGGGAATGCTAGATTATGAATGAAATATTGCAGCAGAATGGTACCGATGATGACATGATGTAGGCCTAGCTTGGTTGGATGTTAATATTGTAGTGCTTAACTGCAGCTCAATATAAGTGCCTGGAATATAAGGAATCACTACGAATGACGTCCGGTTCGGCCGTACACTTGTTCGGCCGTAATATATTTGTATGGAACGCCAAATAGGCACAGAGCTGTGCGTATGCTATGTGTGTGTGGTTAACAATAATCTCCCTATTGTAATCTATCTGTCTCTTATACACATCTAGATGTGTATAAGAGCCAGACAGAAACTCTTTGGTTTGTGTTAGTTAATAATGTTTT